AGTAATGAAACCGAATTTTCAATTGCTGGAGCAGGATTATGATGTAGATCATCTTGTTTGATCACTGATGAAGATGAAGCAGTGTTTCGAATCAATTGTATTTGTCTTTTTAGTTCTTCATAAGCTCTATTGAAGCCAAGTTTTGGAAAATCAATATGAATAAAAAGTGAAGTTAATACTCCAAGCCATCCATCAGCTTTATAATTCGGTTTCATTACTAATGGAATGATTCGACATTGACGTTTAATTGCATAACTCGCCTCCATTTCACAAAATGAACTTTGTTTGTAAGTATCAGACATGCAAACAAAGATAAATTCTGAATTTTCAATTGCTTTAGCCATTGCATCAAATGTAGCACCATGCATTAAACGGGAATCGATCCAAACTTTGAAATTGTCTTTTTCTAAACTTTTGAGAATTTCATGACAAAGTTCTTTGTCATTGTGTGAATAACTTATCATGATATCGTACTGCTTTCTAGAAGTTATCGTTTCCGAAGATACAGATGGTTGATCTTCAATTTTCTTTCCAACAATCTCGGTATCTTTTTCTAATTTCCATATTAATGCAGTAGCCACTCGTTGTACCGCCTGTTCGGAAGATGAAGCCAATTGTCGAATACAATTCATAAAGTTAATATTATCTTTTAATAGTATAGAGAAATCTTTATTGAATGCTAAGGCAAGAATAATTTCAAGTGCAGGAAGTTTAGCTTTGAGTAAGTTGAATTCCTCTTCTATTACACAACGAAGAAAAAACGACGGACCATTTTGTTTGATTAATTCTTCACGAATTTGTTCATGTTGTACCAAAACTACATAGGAAGACTAAAATACAAAATTTGAAATATTATTTGACGATCATTAACCTTTAAGACTTCGAAGAATATTGTGCAAGCGACTTTCATGAGAAATACCACCGTTTATTGTATCTTTGATGAAATCTATAAATACAGTCGCAATTCTATCCGAATTTTGTAGTTGTTTTAAATCCTCTTCTGCCAAAATAACTGCAAGAATTCGGTAGGCATGTAAAGACACCTCATTGTCATTGTTTGATGTACGTAATAAGTCGTTCATAAGATTGACTAACTCAAGACTTTTAAGATAAACAGCCAAATCATTATCAACACTGAAATAGAAAAGAATCTGAAGAAGCATATGAACAAACGGCATAGCATTTTCATCAATGCTTATTGGATTCGATTCATTAACAGAAACTAAAATATGTTTGATAGTGTCAGCGATCTGTTGAAATTCTTTATATGATTCATCACTAGTAATACCATCGCCCATATCTAATCGAAATAATGAATTTGTAAGATGTAACACAACTGTTACCATAGTTGATTTCCATTTAATGTATGGTGGTCGACCTGTATTGTATTGAGTAAGCCAATTATCAAACCACTTTAAATGACAACGTCGTATTTTTTCTATTATCTTCTGACGTTGATCACCGTCATACCATGTGATCAAATTTGGGTAATCACGAAGCAGAGCGCGTTGAATTGTTGTGAAGTCATCTGGTGGATCTTTAGCAACGATTTCAAACATTTCCTTATATTGAGAAGAACAAACTTGATCGATAGCTACAGTTAAATATACTGAGAATTCTGTATAACGTGCCATCGTTAATAGTATTTATTTCGTTAAATTCTCGAAGTGGAATGTAATAACGTTACACCAATTTTAGCGTTACAACAGTGTGCGAAAAGAAAGAAGAAAGTTCTGGTTGTTTTTTAATAATGTAAAAGCTGGAGAAGAAAAAGAAACTCGGTTGCGTTTACATTGTGCAATGTTCTCTCATAAATTCTACCGTAGAATTAAAAAGTGTGTCAAGAAAAGAAAAACGTTTTTCCTCTGGCAAAGAAAATTAAACAGGGGATTTTTTGCTTGGCAACGAAATAGTGACACTTTTTTGTCAATAGTGGCAAGAAGGAGTAAAAGCCGGTGGCGGCATCTTTGCCCAAGTCGCGTCGTCCCTGTTCTATAAATCGCCAAAATGATATTTTTATTGCTGTTAGTAAAGATTTTCAACTACGTACCTAGAATGGTCGAGATTTTCAGAATATACCTTTACTTTTCAGTAAACATTTTCTTTTGATAGCAATATCTTCGCAACACAGAGTAGCAGTTACTGTTTCTAGAAGTATAGATATTCGAACTTGAGGGTGAAGGTGAGGGTGTGGATCTGTTACAGGATGCTCACGCCCACAAGGGTATTCGTTATAAAACTAAGCAGATTGCTATATGTTGTAAATAGTCATGAGTAAAACTTTTTGCAAAATATTCCTATATTCTCCCTCAGGATCGTCTGGTTTATTTTCAGAATGTTTTCGATAATACGGCCGAGATATTGATGAAACAATTCTGCGCGAAAAAAATGCGCTCTATTGCATGTATTTTTTAAAAGTTATCGAACGAACGGCAGATCGGACACACACCGATTTTAGTAGTGTATGTGTGAGAGAAAAAGACATAAAAATAAAGCAAGACATTTCATCTTGAGAATATAAATATATTAGCCAATCTTATGTCGTCTAAATATTTCAACAAAAACAGATTCTTTACTATATATTTAAAATCATAGTTTCAATTTAAATATTAACGTGAGCTTGTCTCAACTCACGATTATATCTTCAATTCATTCGAAATACCTTAAATTCAGTATTAAAGTAATCAATTAAATACATTTTTATTCTTTTGTTCATTTTCTCGATTGATATTTTATCATAATTTGGTACTGAAAGAAAAATCTACTCAATTGAATGCTCATATAGAATCAGTAATCATTTAGCAAGTAACCTAAACTACGTAATTTCTTTTAAGAGGAGCTCCCCCTTTCCTGAGTAAAAAATTTTTGTTTTCAATTGTTTTATAATTTTATTTTTTAAGCTTTTTTCCCTCGATTGAAAGGAGAGTCATGTGTCGAAAAACGTGGTCAAAAAACGGAAATTCATTTGTGTGTGTGTCTGTCGCAGGTCAAAGGTCAAAGGTCAAAAAAACATTTTTTTCCAAATTGACCAAAACGTCAGAAAACATGGTTTGGGAGGGCTGTTGGTGGTGGATGTTCGTTGGAGAAAGCATCGAGGTTAATTGTGATAGCGAAGAGAATTATCCACACATGGTATACATTTATGGGTGTTGCAGTAGCTACATGAAACCGGTGTAGTCAATCAGTAGCGATGCAGGATTTGACAAGATTGAGATCAACCTCGAGGGTAGATCAGAGTGAAAGGATGGGTGAATGAGAAGATATAATGTATGGGCTGACGTGTGAAAGTGGCAATGAAGTCTATAAATGAACGACTGGAATGGAGAATAAATATCAGAATAAAAGAAAATTAATCAAACTTCTATTGCAGAAATCAGATTCAGTAACACCTTTGCATACAAAACTGCAACCGAAGCTACCATGTTGTGCAATGGAAAACTGGAAAGGTAAGGAGCGCAAGTGTCGAAATTTTGAGCATGTTGCTTTTTCTACCCAGTACAATTTCTTCGTATGTCATGCATTCGCCATTGATATTTCGTATTTGTCGTCGGATACCCATGCTAATGGCATATACTGAAAACGCCTATGTACATGAATTATTGAACTAATCTCGAAAATAAAAATCCCGAAAAAATAATCTAGAAAAAAAAATGTCGAAAGCAAAATTATCGAAAACGTACAACCTCGAAGTAAGAAGTCTCGAAAGTACGAATTTCGAAAAAAGTACATCTCGAAAACATAGAATCCCGAAACCGTAATCTAGAAA